CTCGGCCGGAGCCTGACGTCACGTGGTACCACGGCGACCAGAAGGTGAGCCGCTCCAGCCGCGTGTCCTTCCACCATGAGAAGGGCGTGTACAGGATGACCGTCCTTGACCTCAATGCCAAGGACGCGGGCGAATGGCGTTGCCAGGCCTACAACTCGTACGGCGAGGCCTGGTGCTCCTGTGACCTCAACGTCATCGGTGAGTGAGACAAGGTCAAGGACGTGTGGAAATATATCTCGCCAGTCCTTGTAGTATCCGTCAGTTGTTATCATGGGGTGTGGTAGGTTGGTGCAATTTTAGGGAAGAAAGATTTTCAAAAAGAAATTATCTCCATATAACTTGTGTTTAAAACAAAAAGAAATTATCTCTATATAACTTGTGTTTAAAACAAAAAGAAATTATCTCCATATAACTTGTGTTTAAAACAAAAAGAAATTATCTCCATATAACTTGTGTTTAAAAACCTGTGATAAGTTCCTGCGTGTTATTTTGAAATGTGCTTCTGATGGAGCATGTATTATTGTCAGATTTCAGTTTCTCTTCATTTTGAAATTCTTTTATCAGAGAAATAACGGACAACCTTTCCTGTAAAGCCACGAAAACATTTCCACGAGGACAATAAAGAAATATCTTATATGATTCTGTCATACGTAATCTAAATGAGATAGTAAAGAATTATATGGAAAATATCTTATAGTATTTACGTAAAGACATGGTGGTTGTATTGCGTTATATTTTATTTATACGGTCTTATTGTATCATATTATTACCTTATTTTATCTGTAAGGTCTTATCGTATCATATTATTACCTCACCATGGCACTATTTTCTCTCTGTGTGGCTGTTCCAGAAATCATTCCGCCAGGCCACACGTCCCCGAGGTTCAGCCGAGAGCTGGAATACATGACGGTGTCTGAGGGCAGTCTGGTCAGGCTGGAGTGCCAGGTCACTGGCGAGCCTAAGCCCAAACTGAAGTGGTGAGAGATGGATAGAGGGATGGAGAGAGAGAGAGAAAGGGGGAGGGGAGAGAGAGAGGGGTGGGAGGGGAGAGGGGGAT